TTCATGTCTCAAATTCAGGAGAGAAGTTTGGGCTAGATATATTAATGTGGAAGTTATCATTGTCTAAATCAGGGGTCCTCAAACTTTTTAAACAGGGGACCAGTTCACTGTCCCTCAGACTATTGGAGGGCCAGACTGTAGTTTAAAAAAACTATGAACAAATTCCTACGCACACTGCACATATCTTATTTTGAAGTAAAAAAACAAACGGGCAAAAACACCCGGATGTGGCCCATGGGCCGTAGTTTGAGGACACCTGGTCTAAGTCAATAGAACTTTCTACAGTGATGGAAATGTTTTATATCTACACTGTCTAATATGGTACCCCCTAACCACATGTGGCTTTTGAGCACTTAAAATGCAATTAGTATGACTGAGATACTGAATTTTTTATTTTATCTTATTTTAACTTTAAGAAGCCACATGTGAATTAGTAACTATTGTATTGGACAACACAAGCAATGGAATTAAAACCATTAGACTGGGTAAGATTACCAAGAGATGGAGAAGAGAACCAAAACAGAACCTTAGAACTCTGCAACTTTAAAGAGCTCTGAGACATGAGGAGCAAACAGCAAAGGAGCAGAGAAGGGGGAGGGACCAGTGAGGTAGGGAGAAAACTTGGAGGCCTAGTGAATCTAGTTTATCAAGGAGGAGAGCAATCCCTTTTGGCAAATATTTCTGACAGGTCAAGTAAGTTAAGGACTAAGAAATAACTGTTGGGTTTACCAATATGGAGGTCATTGGTGATCCAACAGGAATGGGTTCTGTGTAGTGATAGGGAAGATACCTGATTAGCATGGGTTTAAGAAAAAAATAAGAGGATCTTATTTATTATATGCTGTTTTTCTCATCTATTTTATATTTTATTTTTCTCCTTTTTTGCCTTATTTTAATTCAGTTTTTTTTATCATTCTCTTCTTTACCCTCTATTAGATTTAAAGTTATATACTGTTTTCTAAATATTATGTTAATAGCCACCTTTAAAATTATACCATCAATGTCTAATATTGATCTGGGCAATACAAGGATCTTAGAACACTTAATTCCAAGACCTTCACCTGACTTTTTTCTCTTTGGTCTGGAATGTAATTCTTTTTTTTCTAACCCTATCATATACTGTTTATTAATTCTCTTAGTTTCATTAAACTTCTTAAATCTGCAGATTAGTATCTTTTATGAACTCTGGAAAATTATCAGCCATTATCTCTTTAAATGTTATTAATACCTCTGTCTTCTTCTTTCTGGTTCTCTAATTACATGCTTTTTAGACCTTCTCATTCTGTTCTCCATGTGTCTTAGCCACCTTTCACATTTTCTGTCTTTTTTTTTCTGCCACAATCTAAATAGTTTCTTCTGACTTATCTTCTAGTTCATTAATTTTCTCTTCAACTGTTAAACTTATCCATAGAGTGTTAAAGTTTGACTATTGGATGTTTTTTCCTAAAAATTCACTCTCATTCTTTTAAAACATTCTATGTCAAGTTTTGAAAATTTCCATGTTTTATTTTATTTATATATAAGCATCATTTTATATTTTTGTTCCAACAATTTTTATAGTTGAAGTTCTTGTGGATCTATTTCTGCTGCTTCCTCTGGTTCTCACTCATAGTACTTTATTTCCTTACATGCTAGGTTATTTTCAAATTTGTAGTGTTCATTGTCCTTAAAAGATTGTTAGCTGTACTTCTTTGAGGCCTTGTATGGAGATATTTCCTCATAGGAAAGATTTACATTTGCTTCTGTCCATTACCTAGAAGTACTACCAAGCAGGTTAATTTTAAATTAGATTCACAGCTTTAAGTGTTCCTTGACCACCTTATAAATCCCCATGAAGTCCATAACAAATTATAACAGTTCCACCTCCACAGATACATATAGTCCCACACTCTGACTGTGGTCAGAGTTAAGAAAATTTCTCTGTAGTTCCTTTATGAGGCAGCAAGGCACTTTTACTTCCTGTTAACATCTACTCCCTGTTAACATCTACTCTGATGGATGGTAAAGTTCTTTAGAGTTCCAGCTGTATTGTGTTGGAGAAGTAAAAAGAGGGGAAAATTTCTTATTATGATCATTCCTTACTTTGGATGAACACTGGGCTTTGTCTTCTATTTCCCTAATACTACAAAAGGCTTTGAAAATGTCAGCCCAAATTCTCCTGGTACAGCAAGTACACTCCAGGCAGCAGCAGTTTCCTTGAGACATATACTTCCCTAGGTTCCTTAACTTCTACAATGAGCTGACTCTCCGCACTATTTTTCATACTTTTCAAAAGATATTTTAAATATTTTACCCAGTATTTTTAGTTGTTTTCTGTAGGAAAATGGGTTCAAATAGCCTGATCTGCCTTATTACTGGAAATGGATTGCCCCATTTATTTTTTAGTAAGCTGAAGTTTCAATGGAAAAGAACCCAAACTCTGAGAAGTAATTTAAAGAGATTTATTCTGAGCTGAATTATTCTGAACTAAATAGCCCGGGGAGCCACACTCAAGAAGCCTTTAGGAAATGGTCTCCCTGTGGTTGGGTTATTGTTTGGTTTTGTACATTTCAGGGAGACAGGAATTACACATAAAGTCATAAGTCAATACATGGAAGGTGTACGTTGGTTTGGCCCAAAAGGGGAGAACATCTCAAAGGAGGGCATTACAGGTTATAGATGCATTTAAAGATTGTTTGATTTGTAATTGGTTAAGGAAATGAAGCTTTGTCTAAAGGCTTGGAATGTTTTAAGTTAAAATAAAGAAGTCTGTTAATCAAAGACAAACCACCGGGCATATACCCAGACTCAAGTGATCTGTTAAGTAAATTGAAGACCTGCAGGTGTAGCTTAAGCTTTGTCTTGCATAACCTTAGGCCTGTTGATGAGTTACAAAGGATATCTCCAAGAAGGGAAGGGGGCATGACAAGGTATGCCTGACCTCCCTTCTAATGGCCAGCAACTCAGCTTTAGAGTATTTCTGGGGTCCCCTTGGTCAAGAACGGGGTCCATTCAGTCATCTGGGGAGTTTAAGATTTTATTCACAAAAGTAACTCCATTTCAAGTTAGTAAGTTTCTGATAAATATTCAGGCATGCACATCATTTTATCTTTAAAAAATTCCCATATTTTTCCAATTATGCATGCAAATGTATTACTTATGAATAGTAAAATATTTTAAAGTTAAACTAAATTATTTATCTTCTGATTTATATAGGATTAACTTCCTCAGTGCTTAGACTCTGAGGAAAATGGCAAATATGGATGGTGATTCTAAGCATCTTCTCATCCCCGAGATAGATCATGAAGTAGATTCTGGACCGATGAATATCCAGTTTGATTCATCAGATCTAAGATCCAAAAGGTAAGTGTTTAAAGTAAAACACTTATTTCATAGTTAGGGTTTTTAATGATTAAAATAGAATTAATTGTAACTAAAATGTATAGATTTGATTATAAAATACCAAATTTCTTTTTAAGTGTTTATTTTATTTATTTTTTTTATTTTTGCATATTATTGGGGTAGAAAATACCAGATTTCTTACAGGATTTGTATGTATGTATATAGGGGGGAAGTAAATAGGAATACTATTTCCTTATTTATATTTGAGAGAGAAAGAGAGAGAGAGATTTTTTTACTAAACTCAAGATCTGTTGGGGGAGGGGCTGGCATAAGTTTTACAAGTAAGACACATTCATATAATTCATTTAACAGATATGTATTGATTACCTGCTTTGTGCAAGGTAATATGCTAGGTGTTGGAGATAGACGAGTAAAATTAATAGATGATCTTTACCTTCATTAAACTTAAATTCCAACAGATAGTTTAAAATAATTTGAGTTTAAATTCTATTTCATTGTATACTGGGAAAATCCAAAAGAAAAATTATAAATAATAAGAGAATTCAGTAAAGTGGCTGCTTACAAAATAGGCAAAAATAAATGGCCTTCCAATGAGAAATTTTAATGGAAGAAAAGATAAAATACATAGAAATAGTCTTAACAAGAATGTGTAAAATCTATATGAGAGAAACTTTAAAATGCTCCTGAGGGACATAAAATAAGCTTTAGAGTATTTCATCAAGTCTGAGATGCTACTAATTATAAATTGCATTTTATAAAATATAACACGAAGCAAAACTTCCAATACCTGTGATGCAAAATCTCTTAGGACTTAGAATTTTTGTTTTGTATTTATTGAAAGAACTCTTGGACTTATTTGATATTTCATCATATATTTCTTATGCAATTATAAAAAGGAAAATACAAACACAATATATCAGTTAAGGTGTTACTAACTCATTATATTTAGAATCTGATTCTTCCGAATCACTTTTAGGCTTGGAGTCTTCAAAATAGGTGTTTTTCCCACACTGAATTGTCCTTTGTGCCATTAAGAACGTTAATGTAGCATTTCTTGGAAAGATTTTCTTCCAGATCACTGACCCTTTGTTTTGATGCTTGTAATTTCCTCATCTTGCCAGAAGGCATCACAGAAGGTTTTTTTTAACAACATGACTCATATGTCTTCCTCAGATGGTCTTTAAATGGTTTGTCTGAAATAACCAGGAATGGCGATTACCTGTCATGCCACCAGGCATAACTACTATCATATGGCCACCTGCTGACAGAGACAAAAATGTGTTCTAGATTATCAGATGCATCATTATTTAGAAATGTTTATGTGTGTATATTAGTTTTTAAAATTTTACTTTAAATTTTTATTTATTTTTTGAGACAGAGTCTCACTTTGTCACCCTGGGGTAGAGTGTAGTGGTGTCATCATAGCTTACTGCAACCTCCAAGTCCTGGGCCCAAGCTATCCTCCTGCCTTAGCCTCCCAAGTAACTGGGTCTTTAGGCCTGTGCCACCACACTGGGCTAATTTTTTTTTTTTATTTTTAGAGATGGTGGTCTCCCTTTTGTTGAGGCTGGTCTCGAACTCCTGATCTCAAACCAACCTCCTGCCTTGGCCCCCCAGAGTGCTAGGATTACAGGGGTGAGCCACCATGCCTGGCCTAAATGTGTATATTAGAATCAATAGAATATGATGTAATAAAAAAGTATATTCTGCTCTCAGTGGGAAGACTCTAAAATAAAGATGTCATACTCTTTACATTTTAATCCATAAATTAATGTGATTCCCCCAAAAAATACCAGCAGCCATTTCCAAAGTTTATATGGATCAGCAATTTCACTTGCAGGCATTAATTTACAATGTCAAATGATGTATGTACCAGGCTGTTTAATACAGTATTTTTTATAACAGCAAAGACTGAAAGCAATCAAAATGTCTTTTCTTACAAGAATGAATAAATAAATTATGATACATTTATACAATGAAATATTTTTCATCTATTAAAAAGGAGGTGGCTTTATTATATGTCAGAATGGAATGACTCTTCAACTATTTTGCTAAGTGAAAAATACAAGTACAGAGAAATATGAATAGTATGCCACCCCATTTGGGCAAAAACGATACATTATATATAATACAATATGCATAAATGGAGTCTGGGGGAATAAATAGAAACTGTAAGAGTGGTTGCCTCCTCAGAGAGAAACTGAGTGCTTGAGGTGGGATGGTGTGGCAGATATATATCCAATAATTGTTCAACAACCCCACCTATTCCTTGTCAACAGAATCCGAATTTTGTAAAAGTTACAGTGAATCTTAATCAGGTAGATAAAGTAAGGTTGGTTTAAGATAATCTTGTTTCTATTTTTCCAGATACTTAATTTTTTAAAGGTGGCAATGTGAAATTTATCACAGGAGAAATTTATCATTGTCATTTATATTGTCCATCAGAAAAGATAATGAAATGAATCTTTTGATTCTCACTTGTATATTCTAACATCAGCAAATATAAGTACTAATGAATGCTAACTGAATGCTCAGGGTTTCTTGAAACCTCTAAATTCTATGACAAATAATTGACCACTGTGACAATAGAACATAGGTCATAAGAGTGCATTCCATTACAATAAGTTGGCAGGAGTTCAAACAGTTCTCTGAAGATTTGTTTTACTGGGTAGATTAAATGGAAATATATTATCTGTAATGAAACTTGTCAAAATGAGAGGGAATCAACTCTACAATCATGGCATAACTACCTAGGTAAGCATGTTTTAAGAAAGGCAAATATAGGGACTTAGTGGTACTGAATACTAATTTTCTGTTAAGAAAACAAACTATTTGATGAGAAAAAAGCATGAATACCATGAAACATTGTTATTTCTGTTAAGATATCGATTACTGTAAAACTCATATACACTGAGGGAAAAGTATCTTCCATTTAGAAGAACCAATTTAGACAACTGTTTCCAAAACTTCATTTTAGAGTCACCTTATGACTTTGGTGATATCTCAATACCACCTGTGTAATACTATAATTTAATATTTCTTTAAAATCTTTTAAAAATTAGGGTTAATTTAGCTTCATCTTCACCTATTTGTGAAATGGTGGATTTGAAGTGTTGCTTATACTTTTTTCTAACATGCATTGCTAAATACCAACTAGTTAAAATAGCATTCATCCTTTGCTACCTAAGATCATCTTACATATCACCATACCTTGGGAAACTGTCTTTGGCTCTCAGAGTATAGAAAACACTTTATACTTTGAGATTACTCATCCTCATTTTAGCTTGTGTTTTTCAATCTCTTCCACTAGGTGGCAATCAAAATCATGTATTTGTTAAAATGTAAGAATTTTAGTAACTGCTTTGGACTAAAAGCATGCTGGATCTGCTTATCATTTTGGCAGAACTGGGGTCTAACTAAACTTAGTGGGAAGAAGGAGCTTGTCATTATAGGGGAGGATACATGTCATAATCATTTGGATCATTTGGGGAGGCTTTCAAACTATGTAGGCCCACTTTTTGCTCTGCACACCTGCCTTTCCCCATCAATTTTTCACCTGGTTTGGGGTGGAGTGAAGAATATGTGTGCAGGGACAGAAAGGTTTAGAAGTCTCCTGTGTTGATATATTCTATATATTCTGCTAGCAATTACTGGTCTGAGGGATGATTTTCCTGCTTTTCCCAGACTTTCTGTTAACCAAAGACAGAGCCTAGTATTCAGGATTGCTTCATATTCTGCTGCTGCTCTAAGGCTATTCCCTGGGGGAGTTGATCATCTCAGTCAGCCTACAACCAAATTGTGAAATGGTTAATTTTTTTTTTTTCAATCTTCCTCTACCACTGTTTCCTCTTCCATTTTTCGCCAGTCCTAGGGCTTTCATATGCTTCTATGTTTGCCCATTGTTATCCAGGGCAGGAATTTACTCAGATTTAACCCCCTAGGCAATACCTTGTAAACCATACTTTTCTTCTGCCCCTTATTCACCAGTGCTTATCTGTCTTATTCCTGCCAGGGCTTTGTTTTTAGCTTGGTATTATAATGGAAAACAATCTGATATATCAGGGACCTACTCTAATACCTTTCCATGGCTCTTTGCATTTTAGCATAAATAATCCTGAAAATATAAAATCCTAACCTAAAAGTTCAAGATTTTTCTAACTGATAACATTTCAAGTGCTCTGATAAGCCAGTGGAGTAGAGGTGGATATTTAGAATTGGCAGCATTTCTAGTGTCCTTCACCAAACGCACTAGGTATGCTTTGGTACCTATTTCTTATGCTTTATGGTCTGTTCCTCTGTAAACTGGCCTCTGTGTTTCACCTGTCACTAATACTGTCATTGTAGAGCAGCCTAAATTGACTGTTTTTGGTACTTGTGGTCCTAGGAGAGAGGAAGAAAGAAAAATATATAGAAAAAAGAATTTGAAAGAATAAAAGGATTTGGATGGGACTGGAAATAAGGTCCCAGTCTAACAAAGTTTGTGTTTAAATTTAAGGCATCTCCAGATTGATGGCCATTATTGTCCTCTTTAAGCACAAGAGAAGCCTGAAGAAAGTGGTAGCTTAGTTGGATTTGACTAGTGCTCATTAGGGCCAAGTCAAAAGTGTGTTTTGTTGAGAGGAAAGGGTATAAAGCATTGGGCTAGTCTCATTCTCTGCTCAATAATATAACATATCCAAGTATATTTAGTCAAAAGGGTTTTAGTGCATTAGTGTAATAGTACTGAAAAGCAATGAAACCAATGGCAAGTATATAACAAGAGATTTAAGACTTCTTTTAACAGACTTAAAGTCAAATATTATTGAATCCATGGAGGCACATGAAATGCAAGGATTTTGTTAAAGTTCAATGGCCCAATAAAATGGAATTGATCTTGTAAAAAATCATATATTGAGGTTTTGTATCTTTAGCTTCCTTTTATTTTTTTAGTCTTATTCTGAAATTGTCCCCAAAAGTATATGATATAATTTTTCTAAGGACTCTTATATTGATATTTCTTCTTCCAATCTATTCTTTATTCCCTTGTCACAAGATATGGTTTCTGAGATCTTTTAAATATCAACAGATAAATGAATGCCTCAACATTTTAAATTAGGAAATACATGTTCCATAAAATAACATAGGGAATAATTTTGGTGGTGTACTTATAAAAAGGCCTGGCTCATTTACAAGAACATCATACTTCCTTATTTCTTTTACTTCAATACTTTATGGTTTTCTTGACATGTTAGCACTACTTCAGTTATTTTTTGTTTATTGTATACATTATCTGACCTGGTATTTATTCTAACACTAGGCTTTTTTCCTAATACTAGTTTTTATTGATGCCTACCAATACTTCTGCTTTTTTATTTACCTATATTTCATATGCAGAATTGCTTCTAATCTTGCCTTTCTTAAGAAAGGCATGGCTTATTGCCTGGCTTATTCATTAATAGAAGCAAGCATTGGTTGTCTTCCTTATGCCTTTGAGTGTGGGCATACTTGGGAATCTACACATTAAAATACATATTATTATAAGTTACTTTTATTTTATTTCTCTAAATTATGTCTGTATGTAGTTATATATTCTCTGTTTTATTAAGGCTAGTAAATTGAGTATTAAAATTAATTGCATAAAAACAGGGCATGGCCCTCCTTCATGCATTGCTAGTGGAATTAAAACATGGTACATCCAGTTTTGAGAACAGTTTGACAGTTCCTTAAAATGTTACATAGAGTTATCTTATGACCTAGCAATCTACTTCTAGGTATCTATCCAAGAGAATTGGAAAACATGTCTACACAAATAATTGTAAACAAATATTCATAACATTTATAATGGCCCAAAGTGGAAATAACCCAAATGTTTATCAACTGATGTATGGATTCACTGAGTGTGATATATATCCATACCCTGGAGTATTATTTGACTATAAAAAAAGAGTGAAGTACTGATATATGCTATAATATTATGAACCTTGAAAACATGCTGTATGAAAGAAGCCACACGAAAAAGACCACATATTGTATCATTCCATTTATATGAACTATCTAGATTAGGTAACGCCGCAGAGACAGAAAGTAGATTAATGGTGAACTGGGGCTGGGAAGAGGGGAAAACAGGTCTGGGGTTTCTTTTGGTGGTGGTAAAAATGCTCTAAAATGGATATAATGATCGTTGCACAATTCTGTGAATGACAAATTAAGGAATTTAGACTGGCCAAGTTGTTGAGAATAACTAGAAAAGCTGACAAAATGTTTTCAGAAATCTGCTTGAAGATACACAACTATTATCTACCCATAATAATTAAAAATAAAATTAAAAAAAGGAAGGAAGGAGAAAGTATGCCCTAATGTTGAATTTTCTCCCCGCCCCCCCCCCAAAAAAAAGAAAAAATCTGCTTGAAGACATGTGAAAGCTAATCCAGCAATGAAGAACAGTGAGGCCTAGATCAGGAAGAAAACAGAAACCCAGAAAGGAGACCCCAGCATCTCCTCAAGGGTGTCTGCTGTTTCCAGTTTATTAACTGAGTGGCTGAAAACTGAGCAGAGCTTTTGACAGCCTTACAGGCAAGGAAGAAAAATTGGAATCCAGGGCTCACTAAGAGCAGGCTTCACATAAACTTTAGGTTGGAAGCCCAAAGGGCTATAGCCTGGAAACATGAGTGAATTTGAAATAGAGTGGCCTTCTTGCAGGGTCTGATGCCCAGCTTTTTAACTCAACTCAAATCCCCAAACAGAATTAAGTATAAATCCTAGGATTGTTCCTGTCTTGGATTGACTTCCCAAAAACCATGTAAATTCTTTCTAAAGAAAATATTATCCTAGGCTTCAAATTATGTAGTTTTCTATATACAATGTCAGGAACTTAATAAAAAATACCCAGGCATAAGAGGAGTCACAACATTTTCTCTTGGAAAATAAGAGACTCACAGGTGGTCCAGATAATGGAGTTAACAGGAACACACTTCTAAAGAACTATCTTAAATTTGTTCAAGGAAATTAAAATAAGATTGAGAATTTGACACTGACTAGAAATATAAAAAAGAACCAAATTGGTGGAAAATGTTTGTTAAAAAAATAGAAATTCTGTAATTAAAATAACCCAAATTAAGAAATCAATCAATTACAATAATGAAATTTGACTAGGATGTGGAACAATGCAGTTGCTCATACAGTGCTAGAGTGAGTCTAAGTACAATCACTTTGGAAAAGGGTCTGTAATTATGTGCTAATATTGAGCATACACTAAATTTGTAATCACTAAATGGCTCAAGCCTGTAATCCTAGCACTCTGGGAGGCCGAGGTGGGCAGATCACTCAAGGTCAGGAGTTCGAAACCAGCCTGAGCAAGAGCGAGACCCCCATCTCTACTAAAAATAGAAATAAATTAATTGGCCAACTAAAAATATAGAAAAAATTAGCTGGGCATAGTGGCGCATGCATGTAGTCCCAGCTACTTGGGAGGCTGAGGCAGGAGAATCGCTTGAGCCCAGGAGTTTGAGGTTGCTGTGAGCTAGGCTGATGCCATGGCACTCTAGCCCAGGCAACAGAGTGAGACTCTGTCTCAAAAAAAAAAAAAATTTGTAAATCACTAAAAATGTGTGCACATTGCACCATTTTTATATACAAGAATGTAAATTATAATTTATTTATAAGAGCTCCAAAGTGGAAAAACCCAGATACCTATCAACAGGGATAAGTAAATTGCATTTTCATATAAGGGAATGTTACACAGCTGTGAAAATGAACAAACTATAGCTAGAGACAAT